TTTAAGTTTTCATTTATAGTAGGTAACATAGGTAATTAAGGACAAAACATCATTTTGCTACCTTTGGTAAACAACTGCATATATGATGGAGGTAACTGTATACCGCACTTTTTCTCCAGAATTTCAACAATTGTAATTAACTAAGACACTTTTAAAAAACACACATACTTATTATGCCTTATGACTCCATTTTATGACTTGTAGTTCTTCCCATATTCTTTATGGGATATAATGACAGGTGGTTCCTCCAATAGTTTGCTGTACAGAGTACTTAGTATTTGAAGAATGTCATCTTAGCCTTGAGATTTTTTTCCTGAATATTTTTTCTCTTTATGCTGGGAAAATAGTAGCTCTACAAATATAGAAAAACATTTAAGTACAGAATGAAGTATGAAGTTTACTATTAAGGAGGTTTGAAGATCTGGTGCTTATTCCTGAATTAGCAACAGATTTCCCATTACCTTAACTTCTTCATTTAGATACTCCATGATCTATTTTATCTTTAAAGAAAGCGATGGCATCCCTGCAGGATGCAGAAAAGCCCAGTTCACAGTTCTGAAACACATTAGCCTCCGCTTCTACAAACTGACTAATGATGCTGAGCGCACTAAAGTCTCTGGACCATCTCCTTTTCTCCCCATCAGAGTCTAAGTGCTCAATTCTCATTGAAAGACTTCAGATCCTGAGCTGCCTGGATCCAGTGAAACATCCAATCAATTTCAATTAACATAATTCCCAATAATACAGCACTACCATCTGTAGGTTTTCGAGCTGCTTCTAGGAATTATATAGCATCAGTCCCCCAGTAATAACTTTTAAATCAATAACCCAAACCAAGTTTGATAGAAAAGCTAAAGTGTCAAAGGTGTAAGTGTCACGCATTTCATGGCAACTGGTAGCAAGTAGAGCAGAGTGCCCAAATTAAGTGATCTCACCAAGGGAAAGATCAAGTTACCCGATATGCTCAGCTTGCCAGCGAGCAAACACAAACTGGGAGAACGGCACCACATTCCTCCTGTTGCCCAAAAAGGGATGTAGAAATGAGATTAAAGGGAATCCAGCAGAGAGAACTGCATGAGAACTATGGGGAGACCATGCAAGGACCAAGGGATGCTGGTGGAGTACTAGCAACACAGCATATACAACTAAATCTCATCTTCCTGTTTATAATGGGAAGCTGAAGGAGTATTTTTTTTCTCTACTTGTAAAATACTTGCGTGCTGTAAACATTTGTAAGCCATTAGCTAGAACCAAGAGCACATGCTGTAACAAAAAAGCAAGGTTTGTTGCAGCCATGGGAATTCTTTCTAGTGAAGCCACAGAGCAGTAGGCGGGACAGGATGTCAGGGACCAGCTGAGGCATCACCAAGCAGAGGCAGGTTCACAAACATCCAGACAAAGCTGTAGCAGGTGACTGTCAAACCCTTCCTAAAAGGGCACTCGGGCGAAGGGGAGTCTGTGACCTCCCAGAGTACAGTACTCAGTGTTAGGAAGCAACCCTCGTATTGAGCAACTCTTTTTGCCAAAATCCAAACTACAACTTGTCCTACAATCAGCACATAGAGACTACATAAACCCCGCACACCCAAGACAGTATTTCTTCCTTTGTCTGTAGTTTATACAGAGTTACTAGGTAGCTGCCCTGTTTGTAGCTCTGACCAATACAAGCTTTTTAAGTTTCGTCATAGTAAAGTGTGCTTGTGAAGTTTATCACTGTATTTCTACTGAAAGAATAAAGAACACTTCAATTGCCTCCATCCTCTCCTTCCAATCCTAAACCCTTAATACAAATTCATAGCAAATGAGGAAGGAAAAAAGTAGTATCTGATGAATCTCGAATTAGCCAACAGTCTGATGATTAAGGCCCTCCTTCAGAAGCTAGAAAAAAAATGAGCTTGATTTAAAAACACAAGATGACCATCTATTTGCTTTGGCTTTCACATGCTTCATCTAAGTAAGCATACATAACAGCCATTGTCAGAAACATCAAACTTAAGCATTTAGCTTGACCCAGAATTGATTTGTTCTGTTCTTAACAAAAAATAAAATTCTAAAGCAGTTTCAAAAGAATGCCATGGACTCTGCTAAATTATGTGCAAAATCTGACCCAGTTGAAATGCTATGAAAACACTTCTTGCATTGATCTTTTCAGGGAAAGGAAAAAAAAAAGAGATGAAGGAATACCTAGCTCGCAGATACAAACACTGAAACACAAATGGAAATCAAGGTGCTCAACGCTCAGATCCAATGAAGTTTCACCTTAAAAATTAAGCATATCAAGTACCTACAGATGATGTTACATGCTATTAGAACTGGAGAACAACAAACAGAGCAGCATACCACACAGCCCCACATTTTGAAGCCAGGAAGTTATGTCCCACTTGTACGTAACCTCTTCCATGGGCCCAGCCTTCAACTAGTAAAGATGATGGGAGCACGGATGCTAAGCACAACAAAAGTCAGTAGCAGGGGGAAGGACAAAACCAAACCACAAGAATCATTTCAACTCCCCAACTGCTGTCATATTTTAAGAAGGAGAAGCAATGTTTTTTTAATAATGCAAACTTCAAATTTTACCCAGTTACATACATTCATTTTCATGATTTATACAACTGTTGCATAAGACTCGTGGTCATTTACATCTTCCAGTACAAGTGACATTAGGTACCACAATTTCGTATTAAATTCTAGTTACACTTTCAGTCAATTACACAAATGTGAAACAAGAACACGACTAGGATTATTCTCCTCAGAAAGCCTTCTTCACATTTGTCCAGATGCAAAGATTGCAAAACAACGACATTTGTGGCATTTATCATAATCCCACACCAATTTGTGTTGCTTTGGTAGACTAGTAGAATGTGATTGGCCAAAAACCCCAAACCCCAACCTCACAACAACAAAAAAACCCCATAGCTAAACAACCTTAAGGGATTAAAAAAAAAACAACCAAAACACTTGCAGGCTGATAAGAACGAGCCAGGGGTTTTTTGGCAAGGCAAAGCAACTTCTCCAAGTGTAGAAGATTTAACCTCTTAATAAGTGCCAATAAATTGGTGGCAGTGATTACATCATGCTAGAAGGAGCAGAAACCATCCTGATGTAAAACCATACTGAAAAAGCAAACCCAAATCTAGAAAAACTGTGCTGATGCCTTCATCTACTTGCCATGATGTGTGTTCTAAGTGCATGGCTGAAAATACGCATGGTAATGTCACTGAAACCAGTACAAGTGAGACACTGGGTGGATTCTTCTGGAACAGAGACAAGAGGCTGAATACAGACAAGAGCATGGTTTAGGAGGCAAGACTACAAAAGTAAAGAAAGATTGCTGTAGTGGCTCAGAGCTCAGTTCAGATTTGTTCTACACATGCAAGCTACAATTTTTTTTTTCCATAGCACAAGAAAAATATAAGCAGAAGATAAAGCAACAGACAAGAATCACTACACAACTTCTAGACAGCAAGACAGCAGAAATACACTTTTGAGCTCAAACACACCATCATCCCAGATATTTTCCTCTCCCTAATGCAGTAAAGGAAAAAAAAACAGATAGATGAAGGAAAAAAAAAGTATACAGGATGACCACTAGGCACTTTTCAAAAAAGTTTTGTTATCTTATAAAAAATAAATAAATCAAATAACTTACATATAGTAGCAGTGGTTTATGGCCAATTAGCTTCCTCGAGCCTTTGTCAATGCAGAGATGATCACAACAATGTCTATTTTGGTGACAAGTGTTTCAATGACAAGTCAGCACCCCAAAGGCTAGTTTCATTTTGACATAAAAAAATAGTAGTTGGAATTAATTCTGTTCTTCATAGTAGTTTACTAGTTATGTGACAAAGATACAAAACAAAACTGCCTTTTTCAGAGGAATACTAAGGGATAATTAAAAGCATGTGGACATGGCTTACTCTTAATTCTCCACTGTATATTTGTTGACAAAGTTGTTCACAGAAAAAGTATTACCCAGGTGAAAGTTAGTGGTGCACAGCATGTGGTCACTAAGCCATTAAAAGAATGTGATCTTGCAGTACTGGTTGAGCACTTTCATTTCCCACAGACTTGAACTGCTAAGCACTTTGATTATCCCATTCAACCTTTTTTTCTCCCCTGCTTTACATGGGAGGGTCACAGTGATCATGATGCTACATTCTGGCCAAAGCTCATTCCCCTCAGCTTTTTCAGGGAACATGATACAGTGTAGAACAGGACTTGGAAGAAAGTAAAAGAGGTTCACTAAAAAGCAACACGAGAGTATTTACTCTAAAGGAGAGTGCAGTTTTACCACATAGAAAACCACAAGTGCAATTGCTCTATTCAAAGTTATAACTGCTCTCAAAGTTACCAGCATGATGCAACCACCCTAGACCAAAAACAAAGAAAAAAAGAGAATGTGCAAAGAAGATAGTTCCTGTTAAGTTGAAATTGATTGTGTTCTGACATGATTAACTTCTGAAAGTTTGGTAAGATGTGCTGGTGTCACAATTCAATAAAAATAGTGTTTCTACTCTTACTACAGAAAGATTAAGGATTTTGTTCTGGTCCTACCTAATCCATTTGTGAATTGCAGGGCACAGCCCTTGCCACACTCACCTACCAGAAAAAGCAGTTCCATTTTCTTGTGCTGAAAAATATAGCAGGCTTAGTGGTTACAAAGTTCATGTTTTAAAGTGCACTGTAATTTTAAACACACTTTCCCTTCTTAAAAAAAGAAAATAAAACATTCTGATACCAAGGTTATAAAAATAACAGCTGCAATATTCCTCTACAATTGCAACTTAAAATCAAGTCAAATTAGCAAGATTCAAATCTTTTTCAAAAAGATAAGAACCAAAAATAAAAAACCTCTTTCTGCAGAGAACTGCCAAGCAAAACCTCATACACTGTCCTATGAGCCTCTCTCCTAACAGCATCTCACAGAAAATCCATTCAGTTTCTTCCAGCTGACAACCTCAAGAAAACAGAGGTCTAAATAAATCAGTCCTTCCCACCAGTCACCTACATAACTGCAGGTGTGGATGCTGGTGCAGTTTTTCCATCAACTCTTCCTCTGTAGGTTCTTCCAAAACATCTCTACAAAGAAAAAGCATGAGTTGTTAGGGGCAGCAAAGGAAACTTCTCAGCATTTGTTTTTGCAATCCACATACTGAGATTTAACATGTGCTCGTTTCAAGAATGAAATGAGGAATTAAAGTTACAATAAGTTGATGCTCCCTAAAGATGCATCTACTTGCAAGTGATCCATCCTTTACAGATGTGTCGTGGAAACCAGCAGCTGTTTTCCCCTAAGAAGCAGCGAAGCAATTTCCTGCGCACAGTACAATACAACTGAAGGTCAGTAGATTTGTTTTTCTGAAAAAACTCCCACATGAGAACATGTTCCCAATGCTACTATTGAATATCCAACGTGCACCACAAGTTCCACTAGTGCACGATCATCAAATATCAACTTGCCACCCACAATTTCATAAGCCACCAAGAATGTGCATCACTTTGCTCATCTTCTCTTCTCCCTCTCAGCGCAGTCATGTCCCTCACCTCATCCCCAACACCTCTTCTCCCACCAATGCCATGGGCAGAAAGCACATAAAGGTTAAGCTACCAAGTTATCTTAAAGCAGGCTTAACTAAAGCACTTACTGAATTTCTCCAAACTAACAGATGAAACAGTTTGCTTTGGAGGGAAAAAAGAAAAGACAGGCCTTTTGCTGCCTTGCAGCCAGCACACTTTCTTCAAAATAGATGAATGCAAAATGCTAAGATCAATTATCAAGTCTAGTTCAACTCACCTGAACATTAGTTCAACTGTCCTCTGGTATTCAATACCTGAAGGAGGCTCTCGATGACAGCGACGGTCCCACTTGTGAATAAAGTTCTGAAATGTAAAAAGAACAAGAAAAAAAAATTAAAGGCTACTCCTAGTACTATCAGAAAAGGGTTATATTAGGTCAATATGTTCGGGAGGGAGGTGTGTCTTGTTTTTCACACAGAGCGGCAGAGCAGTGATTTACTTAGGCTTCACCATATTTACTGGCTGCAAGTGACTACTTCATTCGAGCCTGTTGTTCAGGAATGAAATAACTTTCTCTTCACACGCTGAAAGAACAGTAGAGCAGAAGACAGGCCTGCTGCCCTCTACTCCTAGCAAGGACTGCCTCCCCAAGACAACTGTGCGAACTGCCCACAGAGTTCACATGCTTTGAATTTCTTCCTCTGGAAAAAAACAACAACATACAAACATACTCCTAGGCCAGGCATCGCAACTTAAACTCAGCTTCTGGTTCTGTCATGTTCCCTTATCAATTTTTAATTATTCTGACAAATCAATACCTGGAGTAGACAGCTTGGGGATAAAAAAAAAAAAGAGGGGGAGAAGAAAAATAGTGACATCCTGCTCTCCTTGATACAGACTGCTACACCTTGGCTCTTACAGTAAACTTTGGCCACAGTCCTGCAGAAATCAGCAGGTAGAAGACTTCATAGGATTAGCCTCCAGCTAGAACAGAAAGTCGTTTCTACAATGCTCATGGGCAAGACTGAGCCTCAACACGAGACTAAGTTTCTGTCTAAAAGTTTGCCATTCTGCCTGAAGTAGTAAATTTTAGTTCTCAATGCAGTCAACAAAAGCACGTCCAGAAGAAGTTTTCATAGGTTTCAAGACAGGGTGAAGTGCTTTCTACAGGTACTCCGTTTCTTCTCTATTTATATAAGAGAAGCTGACAAAGGTTAACCAGCAGTAATGGCTGTGATGAACATTACCTTCACCACCAAAAATTTAAAAGTTATTTGGATTTGCAGAGAAGTATGCATACGTGAGAAAGCAGCAGAACTACACATTCTTCATGGCATTGCTTCGGTACCTGCACTTCCATAGCTTCTTTAAAAAATTCTAGAAGATGATCTCTCCAGAATAAGTAATCAGTTCCACTCTTCTAACATGGAACAGATTAAGGGTAATAATTCAAATTGGGATGGGAATAAACAGAGGCCAACCAAATACAAAGTATATTTTACAGTGCTAACTGAATTTGCTAACAAATCAAAACGAAAAAAGCCTGCAGTTTGAATAACTAATGCTGAAGTTATATGCTACTGTAGTAGAGACAAGCAATTTTATTGTAATTAAATGCTTTTCATCTTTATAGGGAGTAAGTTATAATGGCAAACATACCCACCCAATGAAATGCAACCAGCTTTGTAACAACGTCACAAATAAAATATACAACTGTTTAGGAAAAAGGAAATGCTATCTCAACATTTTGGAGGAAAAGAGGCAAGGAGAAAGATTAAGTACATGAACACAAACCCAAGGTATTTTCCCAAAACGTTGTCTGGGTTCTTTTCATTTCCGACACAAATCAGAACTTGTCTTCAGGATCTAATTCCAAATAAACACACTTCCTTACCTCTAGAAGTAAAGCTACGAAGAGATTAACCCAGATGACAGAGGAGATCAACCACCAAGCTACGAAATAGATCTTTGCCCACCTGCAGATCAGAATAACAGACAATAAGTACATGAGGCAGTAAAACAGAACAGCATGAAATCACTTTTCTCCTTGAAAGATAATACTACTACTTAATGTAAAAGGAAAATCTTAGCCTTCCATTAAGTTAGCCAAACAGACTTGCTCCGCCCTCAGTTAACATAGCTAATTAAACTCTGACGGGACAGAGAAGCAGGCTAGTAGAAGTTGTACTAGATCATGGCAAAAGATCCATCTAGGGTCTTCAGAGTGGTCAAAAGCGGAAGCACAGGAAAATGCAAAAACATGGCAAAAAAATCCATGATGCTACCCCCTAAGTGTTCTCCCCATCTCCAACCATCTGCAGTTCAGAGATTTCTTGAGCTAGAGGTTAGTTTCCATTCACTGCAGATCTCAGTGGAATTCTTTTTCATGACTTGTCTAGTCTTCCCCAGACCACGTTACACACTTATCACACACAACAACCCAGAAAAGATAATTCCACAACTTAATTACATGCTGGGTTACATGCTAAGAACCACTGGAACAGCTCAACCCAGAGGGTCTTCAGTTCACTCAAACATTCCCATAAACTAAATACAAATGAAAGATATGTCCTAGGTTTTAAGTCCACAAAAAATTCTCCACCCACAGAGAAAACAGAAGCAGCCCAAAATGATTTACAGCAATTCATTAGTACCTCACTTCCGTGAGATTGGCTCTAGAGCAAAAGCCACCCACCCAAAACATACAGTAAGCCTGTATATAATCCACTTAAGTCATTCACTCTTTTTTGGAACAAGATGACTAAAAAGCCAATTTCCAATACCTTCTAAACACGACTACAGATTTTGTGGCATCCAGCAAGCATTAGACCAACCATCAAGTTACAAAAGTTAAAGAGCAGCCATAAGTATTAAGATTGTATCTTATATACCTGAATTGAACCAAATGAAAGGTAAGCAGCACCTCCCTCCACAGATGGTCAAAACTGTCCTACATTTACAATCTCTACTCAGTTACCATATAAGCTAGATTCACATGGGACTTTTTCAGTATTATTAGTGCTACTTACGGACTTGAATATCTTGAAAACGCTTCCAAAAAGACTTGCCAGTTGTTCACCACCATTACATCCCAGAGGGTTACCACTGCTGCCTAAATAACATTAATAAAACAGAAGGTGAGAGGCTCAGAAAATGAGTGGAAGAGACAAGCAGAGAATGAAAGAGGGATGTATTCCATCAATCAGTGATCAGACTCACAGCAAAGTCATCAAAGTTGTTTGGCCAATATTCCAGCTGTTCATAGGTCCCACACTGCAGAGTGACGTTATCATATGTTGTATTGACAGCGCTGCAAGAGAATGGTGATGTAAGCATAGCTTTCTACATACTATACTTTAAAAGCAAGATTTTTCTGAGTGCCTTGTAGAAAGTTAGGTATTTCGTATTAACAAAACAAAGGGAATATTTTTTTTATCTATTTAAGCTATAGCAGGGTAAAATTTCAAGCTACAGATAATCAGTCCTGCTATTCCAACACAGCAAGAAGAAACAGAGGGAGTAACAGATGAAAAAAAAGTCTGTGTGATTTAACATAAAAAGAAGGGTGGCTCCAAGAATAAGAGGAAAATAAAAAAAGAACCTCAAACAACTCAGAGGTACCGAGTTGCAGATGCTTTTGAAAAACAGATTCTTTCTGAGCAGGGTTGTTTAGAATGTTACCTGATATTTCTCATGGGACCAACAGCATCTTTAAAGAGCATGATGCCAGTTATAGCAAATGCATAGAAAACTACCTGGAAGGAATATAAGCAAGCATTAGTTTTTAATATTTCTGTCACTAAGAAAACAATGCAACTAGCATGGAATTCATGTTAGTACCACAATTAAAGGAATCTGACCAAGAACAATGTCTGAAGCTATTAAAGTCAAAACACTTCTCAATGTCTGTATTACTTAATTCTCTGCTCTTAATTTTTAATATTATATTTAACTTTCAGTTGCTAAAATGCATTAAATCCTGTTCCTTTATGATGTTTTACTTTCCTGTGTCTCAGAATGCTGATATTTAACAATTAACAGTGCAGAGTAGCAAGGCAAAAATCAAACCCAAAAATAGTACCTGATAGGAATAATCTAAATATCGAGGAAGTTTTCCGCTAGTTTCAGTGAAAATAAGTTTTTACTAAACCTAACAGAAGGACAAAAATAAGTATTTCATATTACATCATCAACTTCTTTTAAATTGTTATATTAGTCTGAAAAATTAAAGTTTTAATAAAACAAATTATTTTGGAACTTGTGTCTTCTACTTGTCAGAAGTTCAAACTTCTTTTCAAGAGATACCTTTCACAGTCTTCAGCAGTTGCCTAGGTGATTTTGTAGTTTTTATCCTGAAAAGATAGTTCTAGAAAGAACCTATACCTTCACTCCTCTGAGTAAAGAGCCATGTGTTCTAGGTTGGCTTGAAACAAACTGAGTCTTCAAATGAAAGTGTCGTTAGTCATATTGCCATATTCTGTTGCAAAACAGACCCAAGAGGGAAGTCTGGGAGGAGTAGAAAAGAAACTGCCCTGGCCTTTGAACACTACTGGAATAAGTTGAAGCTCACATTCCACAGCCTGCCAGAAGATGGAGTATCTGCCTTGACAATTAATAAAGTTAATTTTATACTTTGAAAAATACATATCTAGCTAATTTCTCAGGCAGTGCATGTTTTAATCAGTTACACCCATCAGGAAAGATGCTTAGCATCAGCTCGTAATGGAGTCAGACTGTACTACAATAGTAGCTCAGTGACAGCTTCCATGTAGCCTCAAGCAAAAGCAAATTAAATTAATGGAAGTGGCAAACACCGAGGCAGACTTGCCTCACAACTGGTGCAAAACTACAGTTCACACTCCCAGCACCAAGGACAATCAGCAGCAGACACTTAAAGCAGCTCCTGAATGTTCCATCTTACATGTATGGGTAGGGACACCACATTGAAACACTAACACGTATTCCTAAAAATAAAATCAAGCATACTATTACTGGCTCCTGCCATCTTTGCTATGTCTTTCAGGAATTAAGAGGTTCCAGCAGAATGCTCCAGCCCAGGTCCAGCCATGCCAGTAGCAATGCAGCTTTAGGGTCCTAGTGCAAAGCACAGAACAGCTCACCCCATAATTGCTATCTTGCAGGGCTCTGATATATGGGCTCTGTGAGACCTGGCAGCAGTGTCCATCACTGCCTCCCCCACCTATCCCCAACACAATTCTAGCAGCCCCCAACAGGGGCAACAACCAAACGTCTGCTCCTTTAGCGTGGGGTACAGCCTTAACCAAGAACTGGCAAAATTAGCCAAACTGCAGTCAGCCTTTAGACAGTTTATTACACCGAGTAAAGCTTTTCTTTATACTAAAGCTGTTCCTATCATATGCAAGATTGGCTTTTAGGCTCCTAAAATGCACTTGCACCTGCAAAGGCTAACTTCCCAGTTCGTACACTCCCAAAGTATTTCTCAGTTTCAAGAGTAGCTCCCAGTGGTAAGCATGACTTGTACAGAACAACTAGGTTGTTACCAACTTAGCTTTGCCCAAACCATTATCTTTATTTCTAGTTGCAACATAACCTTTTCAGATTGCAACTTAAGGTCCCTGTCCTACAGATAAAAGCAGAGATTAGTAGTGACAAAACCAGATACTCTAGATAAACTGCATGGTAAGCATATAGACTATAACAACTTTTTAGACAATACCTTATACACAGCAAATCCTAACTATTACCTCAAATTAAGGTACCAAAAATCAAAACAAACAGAAAACCCCACAAAAATCACAAACAACAAAAAAGCCACCCAGGCACTCAGTTGCTGTACCAGAAAGACATCATTGCAAAGGCAGAAAATCAAGAGTTGGGAAACTGAGGATTTAGGTAACACACATCACGCATTGTAATTCATCATTTAATCACATGTTTACAGACTACATGCTCTACACAGACACACCTAAACCAGGATGAAAAAGGCTTTTAAAAATCATGTCCAAACATGCCATCTCAAGACCTTCTCAACTGAAAACAATTTTAAAGCTGTTTTGCTATTTAATTTAACATAAGTGAGCAAGGGTAAGGCAAACTAGCATGGGATGAATTTTTATTTGAAACTAGAGTATCCAACCCGAGGCAAGCACTCTGAGGAAGTTTCAATCTTGTAAAAGCACTCCTAAAGTAAACTGATAAATGAGGCATTGTCACTGTGCACAGCCCACAACAAAACAGTAGTTTTGTTGCAGCTTTGCAAGAGGTGCCCTGGAGAAGAACTGGCTGAGGAAGGTGAAATGTCACTGTTCATGGTGACTGTCAAAGAACCTGGTTTACTTTGTTGATGGCATACCCTTATTATACTGCTAATTATAAGAAAGGAAATTATTCTTGCATAATAACTTACCACAAGGATTCCTGCAAAGGCTCTTAAGTTTTTTACCAGATCCAGCAATGTAGTAACAACCAAAGCCATGAACTAAAACAAAGCAGAATTTTATATGCATGACATTCATCACACTTCAAATCCATACCAAATTATTTTTACTAAAAGGACTAAGAAATAGCAACCAGGAAAGTGAGCTAAATCTAAATGAGGGACATCTTTTATCCAGTGATATTTCCATGAGGTACTTAAAATGAATGAACAATGCCATAGTCTCTTTAATACACAAGCATTATGATATATTTTAAATATACACAGGCACTGTGACTGAAAAGTTTGTACGTCTAGGAAGACCAGAACAGGAAAAAAAAAAAAAATCACAAGCACCACACAGAGAGTGACTGCTTCATATTTGACCAACATCACTTCTAGTTTACACTTTCCACTGACAATTTGACCTCTAACATCTGGTAGATATTTATGGCTTATTGAACACAAATCCTGCATCTGACATAAATTTGGGCTTAGCTTTCAGGTAAGTCCAAATGCAGGATTACAACAAACAAACAAACAACTCAGTGATTTCAGATTCAAATATAGGTATTCTAGTGGAAATATCCATACTTGGAAAGTGTAAAGAGGGATTCATCCCAAGTAACCCTTTGCATGACCAAAATGCATGGCAGTATGTAATGAAAGCAAGTCTATCACTTCCTGACTATAAAGCTCTTCGAGGATACCATATCCACTCATCTACTTAAGACTGAAGCACTACACAAGTTGTACGAGTGTTTTTGGATGTGTTTACCCACTTCAGAAAACCAGCATCGACTGTCATGACATCAACAGAACTTCCCTGCCACCCCAGTGGAGAAAAACAGCTAAAGAGAGAGTGAGTTTGTGAGGTGCTGTGCAATCATGCAGTTAGAGCCAAGTTATAATCCCACCCAGGTGCAAGAGAATTGCAATCTACTACATGTTATTCTAAAAGGCTTTAGCAAAATCTATAATTTGACCAACACAGAAATCAGAACTGTGGAGGGATAAATAAACACCTTCATATTAGGAATAATCCGCAGGAACCTGAACACAATTAACATGTTCACCAGTCGCACCATATCCCACAGGGATAGCAAGCCCATGAACTCAGGTCTCCTAGGAAAGATGGAAGAAAATAACAAATCAGAGAAATGGCCCATGACAGAAAGATACAGTTACAGTTACCAGACTGAAGGTAACTTCAACATGACATATTATAACCTATTAAAAATTTCAGGGTAAAAAAAAAAGTTGTATTTCCCCATGTAAACACTCTTTATAGCCTATGACTGAGTAGAACACTGCATCCAGCTTTGGAATCCCCAAGTACAACAAAGGGACAAACGGCAGCGAGATCAGCAGAGCGTCAACAAGATGGTCAGGGACTGATGTACCTGCCCTACAAATAGAAGCTGCAGGAACTGGACTTGCTCAGCCTGGAGAGCATTGCTTCAGGAGGATTTAGCAACAGCCTCCTAATACAAAGTGGTCCTCAAGAAGACAGAAACAAGGCTGTTCAGTGGTGCATAGTAGGAGGACAAGGGACAGTAGGTGTAAGCTGAAACAGTGGAGGCTCACACCAGACATAAGGAAGAACTGAATAACTTGTCAACCACAAGGGCAGCAAGACAGAGGCACAGGTTATCCAGAGATGTGTCTGACATCAGAGGTTTTCAAGACTCAAGCGGATAAATCATTGAGTAACTTGGTCCAGCCTTGCTTTGAGCAGGAGACTGGACTAGAGATCTCCTGAGGTGTCTTCAAGCCTTCATGATCCTACATAAAAATCCATAATCTGTAAAAGGAAGTACATTAATTTAATCATAGGGAATCTCAGTTATAGGAAATTCTAATAACTGATGAAAGAAATGGTCCATTTAGTCTGGGCTCTTAAATATGCATTTAGTGCTCTTTAAAGTGCATGTTGACAACAAAATACCTGGGTAAGTGATCTTCCTTCTACTGGGAAGGCACTAAAGAGGGTCCTTTTAGAAAACAAAGCAGAACAGAAATAGTGCTATAGTGAGACGCTTCAGGAACTTGCACAGGGACATGCATTAATCCTTCAGGGTATGCTTGGTTACAGTTAGGCTTCAAAGAAAGCACTAAGATAACAGTCTTGCCAACCTTCTTCCTTATGTGCATATTCCACGAGTGATACGTGTACATTTCAAATGCCAGCCTTAGTTTTAGCTGACTTTTACATTGGCATGCTGGACGCTTCTTTGCTGGAAAGGTGGGCAGGTAGTGGGGGAAAAAAGATGTTAAAGAAAAAGCTCCTTGGTAACAGATGCTAAATCATGACTTGCATCACCAATATATTCAATACTAATAATAAAATAAATTAAGACAACACTGCATAGAATGTGTATTCTAGAATAGTCACGCCTTAGTCTTGTCCAGAAGATTTTACACCCACAGACCAAGCATTTGCCAGCAGCACACACCATAAGCAGCATCAGGACTCAATGATTCATTTGGGTTATAATCTGTCTGCAATGACTGACACAATAAAGAACTAACAAATATTACTGGTGCTTCAAGATACCATTGTAGGGCAAACAGTTGTCTACATTCAGGAATCAAAGGGCAAAAATCAAACCGAAATATAATTAATTACAAATTAGATCAGTAGTTAATGCCATTAGATTTTTAGTAATCAATATCCTTATGGCAACTGTTGCTTTTGAACACAAGAAGTGTTCAAAAATAAACCCATTTCTAGCTGTAGCATCTATCAGTTCTCTTTACAGATACTAGTATAAATTAAGATAACTTCTTGATTGCAACATAACAAATATCCTGGAAAATTATGATTGAGCTTCTGTAAAGAAACAAAATATCAAAATGTGTTCTAAATCACCCCTGAAAGTAAGATTCAGGAAATCTTCCAGAAGTTCTTTCCTTTTCTGTTATGGTGGCAGTTTTCAAACTTTAAGAGACAAAACAAGGATTTTTGTGCTTTTGAAAGTGGGGGAAAAAAAAATAAATCAAGATAGTTATCCAAGAACTGCTTGAACTTAAGAAAAATCAAAGTGCAACTGCCTGCTATTCCAAAATAAATAAGCAGTTTAAGCACATGGAAGTTTTTCTACTAAATTTTACAGCACAACACAAAATTCAGTCTTCAACCTACATACAGGGCTGAAAGAACCAGTCTTCAACCTACATACAGGGCTGAAAGGACCTTGCTAGCTGTTGAGGAATTCATGTAATTGGGATTATGGACAATCTGGTACTGAAACATAGTAGGTTAGTAGCTGGTTGCATATGTTGTATCAAATTCCTTCCTGCACCTTTAGTTAGCATAGGTCTGCAAAGATAATATTTTACATCACATTATAAGTTATAAAAATGCATCAATCTCAGAACAGCTAAACAGAACTTTAAAGTTCAGGAAAAAAAATAGTAATGTTCCTTCACTTATCCACATTGCACGGCCTCTACTGTCTAAAAGGGTGAGAAATTCTAAGAGTTTTGGTAAATTATGGACTGGGCTGACAACCATAGTGTCATGACATAAGCACGTATGAACGTGCTTATATTCCCCTGAACTACCCCAGACAGGGAGCAAAGTTCAACAGTTCAGAGATTACGTACCAACCACGATGAGGAAATCCGTACTCAGCAAAAGTTGCAATCTCCAAAACCTTTAGTCAGAGAAAGGAAAAAAACCAACTAAGGCAAAACCTTACTTTGTAATTCCGAGTTTCAAAAATTACCTATACATTTCTTGACAGGAAACATTTTCAAGAGCTTTAAGCCGCTAATTTGACTCACTTTAAAGCTCTGAAATGGTCACATTTGACTAGGGATTCCCCAGTTTCATCCAATGTACACACGTCATCCAACAGAGACACATATAAGGATATAGAATGAATTACATTAACCATTACTTTGGCCTTATCTACTATATGGGTTACAGACTTTTACCAAATGATGATAATCTCCTGCCACTTTTTATTTTTAATTCAAAAAGTAAAGTGATTTTTAGCTATGTAACAGAATTCCTTATGTAATTACTACAAGAGCTGAATGATTCCAAACAACATTTAAAAGACTGCTTATAAGAAAGCTCACCTTTTCCATCAATTTAAAAAAGTCTACCTCCAGAAAGCAGACCTTAAGAGAACCATTTGCCACCAAAACATTCAAGTCACTGAAAACTACAGCACTCGCTCATGCTATTTAACTCAGTATATTAGCGTTGAATAAAAAGCAATTCCACCAGCTCCTGCAGTTCCTAATCATCATAGTCAACAAATCCAGGAATACAGAAGTTAACAAAAAGCTTACCAGCAAAATTACAGTCAGAAGTCCATCAAATCTATTGCTTGGATATGACAAGTATCTTTTCAAGCCCATCGCTAAGATTTTCAGCAACATTTCCAGCAGATAGTATATGATGAAGAAGCAGTTGATAGTCTTCATGCCCAAAAATAAAATAGAGTTACTAGAAGTGAAACCTCAGGAAACAGCAATAACTGCAGAAATGCTATTGCAACTTACCCCTAAGAAGAAATCATCTCTTTCAGACGGCTGTTTATCTGCGTCCATCACCAAAACCACCTTAAACAACAAAAAACATTTTATGAATCCACTGCTTTACTGCTTCATAAAACAGATTAAGCACAAGAACAAAACAGTCTTATGCTTTGCACAGACTTTCTCAAGCAGCTCAGGTTTTATTTTTTAACTGCAAGTATTCTTTCCTAAGACTTTGCATGACTAAAGAATGCCAAACATGAACATCTGCTACAAAAAGTGGCTATCAGAGCAAAGACGAAATAACAAAACCAGAACTGAAGTTTGTAGCAGGAAAAAACCAACCAATCAAACAAACAAATCCCTTTTACTTACACAGATAGAAACAATGTTTGCAAGGGCTACAACATTCCCCAAGTAGCCAAAGTAGGGATGGCCAAAGGCAAATTGCATTTTCTGCATAAAACGCGATTGATACTCTGGACTGGGAGGATGCTGAAAAGAACATAAAGGATTTGCTAAGACACAAAGCGTAAGCATTTTAATAATGATACAGGAAAAACACAGCCAATTTCAGATTTAAGAAACAGATCTTCTCAACGCAAAACTTCAAAGCCACATGTCACTTTTGACATTTCAGTAGGAAGGTGTTTTCGAGCTCTGGCTATTAGCAGCAAAAGATCATTTCCGGTTACCAAATGCATTGACTTTAGAGTCAACACAAAAGGCACAACACAAGACACTGGCAAAGAAGGGAGATAATCCAACATCACTCCAATGTCTCAAGCAGGTAAACTAAACACCAAGCTACCAATTCCTTCCCCGTTTCCCAGCACTTAATCTGCCTTAAAAGATTCAGAAGCGTTAGTTACATGCAAACAGAAATAAAAAACCCAAAATACTTCCTAACCCTTGAAAGGATCAATTTATTTTTATTCTTTCTTTCTCCAAGTGGAGAAGACTGCTTTCTGCCCATCTTCATCTGAACAGTTAAAGAACCCACATTTCATTCTTCATTCAAGGACTGGAGAAAAGACTTTGCCTGATTATATTTGTTACTTTGCAAAGACTAATATATAGTGGATATGCATTGCTTTAATATAGGACTGTCACAACAGGACAAATCTCTCTCATTTCATCACAAATAATTTACTGCAGAGATACTTATTTCTCCACAACACTTTTCAGAAAGTCTATGCTGTAAGTCTAACTCTTATTCCTTGTAATCAACCTTCCTGTTAAACAAAATAAATACACAGAGCCTTTATCTATTTTGTCTGGTCAAGTCACTTAAAAATGCTGATACAATAAATATACAAAATGCACAGCAGTTTAACACTACCCGGAAATCCCAGCCTAATGCTGCAAAAGCCCCCAGAGCAACGCCATTTATGACTGAGAGCAACGCATGAACAACTTATTAAAAAAAATTCAATGATACTTGATCCCACCCCACGTTCAAAAAGTTGTATATGCTTTATAGCAGAATACTATCACTTATTTCTGCACAAGACCTCACTCAAGACACTTTATATGTGATAGTCAAGCACATACTTGCTTAATGGCATCTTTGTCTAGTTCTTCAAAGAGCTTCTGAAACTGGGAAGCTGACAGCTGGTCACAGGAGCCCCTTTTGAGTGACTTCACATGCAAGAGAAATATTCAGATCAACACCTGCAACAGGTGCAACTTCAAACAGTGCCTACACTCTCAGACTACCTTAAAAGTCTAGCAATGAAGGTGTAATACAACCTACACCAAGGTATTACAGTAAGCTTCAATACTGCTTTGCTTTAACACCAAACTGTCACATGACTCTGGGATTTGCCTCACTTTTTCTATTTTCCCTGCCAGGATCACATGGTGCTTAAGGAGAAGCATGCTCTTTTGATTTACTTGAATTTTTAGTCTCATCTAGTATTGCCATTATTATGTTACAATCCAAGGAAGGAAGATACTATGTCAGTTATGACTGTTCTGCAGAAGTTACTACATGAAAGGATGAAATTATTTTACAAATTGTATCATGATGAAGACACTTCCATACATACTAAACACTAATTGCAACTGTAGCGCGCACAGCAATTAAAAAAATGGAAAAAACCCACTGGCAAGAAATAAAACTAAAACTTGGATTTGTGTACCTAACTAACAATGCAATGGACAGTTCAGCATAATTACAGCACAAAGTGTTTATTCTCAGGCAACTGTTTACACAACTCCTATCCCAGACAACAGTGGGAAGTAATACATGTATAACTCTTAATTTCACTTCCAAACTTCACTTTGGAGCCAGTCAACTGCTGATGCTATAACCACGAGCTCTGAATTGTCACTTCCTTTTGGAAGAAGATTTTACAATATGGACTTACACCGGTGGTCACCAATATAAAGACTAAGAAAATCCAGTTCTTACTCTCATAAGGACTTGCTTGCAGCGAGAATCCATTCCAACTTTCTGCAGCACTTGTACTAAGGCCCCAGCGCTGACATATGACCTATTTAGAAGAAAACAGGATGGGCCCTGAAACAGATAACTGTCTTGATAGCAAAAATATAGCTGTTCAAAAAAAACTGCTTCTGTTTTTTGAAAAGCAGATAAAATTAGAAGCAGAAATTAAAAGGAAGTAGACTCTGTAAGAGTCCCAAACAATGCATTATAAAAATCCAGTTAGGAAAAAAAATAAAATAAAAAAATGTGAGCAACAAACTGCCATTTTTTAAGGAATCCTCAGTAAAATCAAAACCTGCTATTTTCTCCTAGATAATCTACTGTTTCAACATTCTTTACTTACTGTTGTGCTATACCAGGAGTCTCTTTCAGGGAAGAAAGCACTTCAAATGCAGCCCGGATTCCCAGTCGCCTCCTGAAGAGAGAGGACTGAACCGATTTCTAGACAGTAAAAACACCACAGAGGAGACAATTTACTTACACTCATTTAAAGCAAATCCAACTAGACAATGCAAATATATCTGTAAATTATTTGCCCAGCCCTTAGACAGAACCTACCGTAAATCTTCAGAAAGGGCCATATTTGTTCAACTGAAGTATTTTTTCAGGAAGGCAAGATACTGCTTTCTTTCTCCCACCACCAAAGTCCCCATCACTAGCCACTAGATCCAGTTGTCCAGAAACTAGGTCCAACCTGACAGACACTCCACAGTTTAAAAGGAATACCATGAAGAGTCATGGGCTGAAATCATCAAAGCCCATTCCTACCAGAAGGACTTAGGGAAGATCAGGGCTGCCCCACTCCTTGTGCAGTACTATGTCTTACGGTCAGATGATATACTGGCACTCTGGCACACACCCCACATTTGTGATTAGAGATCAGAATAGGAAACTTCCTTAGGCCTCACTCCCTTCAAGAACTCCATGCAAGAGAAGGAAGGAAGGAAGCAAGCAAACAGATCTCTAGCGTTGAAGTCATGGTTTATTTTTCATTCTGGATTGGAGACACACATGCCTATTTTGGAGAAAATGGCAACAGCAAAGCTAGAGTATTCACAGAAATTCATACTGCTGTGGAAAGAGAAGAGTTAGACAGCCTGTCCAACTCCAGCTTCTTGCCAGAAAGAACACAAGAGCCACAGTTTTTCGTGCTTAATTTTTTTCATGGTAATCACTTTAAGACTCAGCTACTTTACTGGGAGTCAGAATAAAGAATGCTCTCACATGGGAAAGAGAAAAATGGAGAAAGAAGGGAAGAAACAGAGGAGGAGGAAAGGATTACCCCTCTGAACAGCCAAATGAACTATAAGGCTATGTAAGTAAGGGGAAGAAACTGTAAGACTATATGTAAGTAAAGGGGGAAGTAAGTAATGGAGGAACTGTAAGACTATACGTAAGTAAGAGGGAAAAATCACTCCCAAAGTCAAAGTTTCCCATGCTATGAAACTTGACAGAAACCATGGGCATGAGAAAACACCAGTTGGAACATACACAGTCAGTAACTGCTGTTCAAGCCAAGCTACAGAGGCCATCACTGTACTGGGACAAAGGGAAAAAAGCTTTACATACAGGTCAGAGGTTTAGCTGTCTGACTTCAGTGCTTTTACATAGCACTACCCTGACTCAGCTTTACCAAAAACATTGCTGCTGAGCTGTGAAATTTTATAAAATATGCAAGTTAAAAAAAAAAAACAACCAACCCACAGGTGGAAGTGAAACTGTTGACGTACTAACTCAAGACTTGAGAGAAAAACTTCTCCATGAAAATTATAAAGCTCAAAAAATAATCTCAAACAGTTTGAAGATGGCACCTAAGCAAGATCAAGACTCAGCCTTGGAGCAAGAGACTGAGTTCCCCTCTGGACTGATGACTGCCTGACCAGAGGCAGTATGCCATCAGTGTGATAACCATATTAATACTTAACCCAGCACTGTGTTAATTCTACTAATCTACTACGTGTCTTAACTGCTAAGTAACTGTTCTGCACCTTGGATGTTCTGTGTTCATTGCTGGAAATAAACCCAGTTCTGGAGATCTCCGGCTACACTCATGCAGCCTCTTCCTTTCATCCCCTATCCAGTCAGTTACTTCTCTTTTGAATAGCAATAGAAATGTCACAAATTTAACCTCTTGGATAAAGTATGTCTTATTGGAGGTAACAGAGATGATTTTTCATTTGATTTGTTGTCCCTGCTTTCTAAAATACTTCTGCCTCAGCTCATTACAGTTTCTCCCTGATAGTGCAGTTGAACAGTCCTGTATAGAAAACAAAAGCAATTACACTTTCCTGCTAAGAGAATCCACTCTAAACTCCCAGTTGAAGACTAAACTGGTGTACGTAATGCAACAAAGCACACTACACAGCCTGTTAATAAAACAGAAAGAACTTGCAGTGATGAGTTTAGCCATCACCACAGATTGCAGACTCCTTGAACAACATGCAAAAAAGCACTTACTTTGTAAGCCTTTACTTCTTCAATACAGACACCTGAGTCAAAAGAGGTCATTACGCTACACATTAGATTCACATTCCACAAAATGAAGTGGGGAGAATCACATATCACATATCATCAGGCATCTTCAGAAGCACATTAAAGTACTACATGGATGACTGCCATTGCACAGAGAGTAAGCACAGCTTCGTTTTCATTTGAGATTGAATACTACCAAGAAGAGCTACTACACACACTGGCAGCTGCTTTTGGTGCAAGTCAATCACAAGGCTCAAGTTCATCTTTTAATAGACAGCAGACTGCTCTAATCATTCCAACATCACGCCCACACATCAGGGTAAGGATGAAGAAAAAAACAGCAAACATGAAGATGATTTAGACAGTGATTCTTTTTTATTGAAGGCCTCTCATGCTGTGCTAGTCAGAGAAATTAAGTGCTAGGATTTACAACAATAGCTATTTAAATAGTACGGTAGGTTTTCTTCACAAAGACCAATTTCAAGTTACTTGTTCACTTATTCAGCTCTATAATGGTTTGTCTGTTGTTTTTTTTCCCCAGAATAGTTGAAGTTGCAGCTTCACAGCATACATGGAAGTATACAAACAGGTAATTCTGTCATGGAAGGTGATCAAGCTACAACAACATATAAGGGGCAAAATATCCACATCAAAGAACCTTTAGTATCTTAAAACCATATCTATTACTAGATATGGATGGACATACTGCTTTAAAGACAGTTGAAATTTTTAATACTCAGGGCTTCACAGTTCTAAAGTTATGGTAGAACACAGAAATTAGGAACGCTTTACTCACCAGAAGGTATCCTCGAAACTGGTTGTATATTATTGCTGTAAGCAAGTTCATCAGAAACAAGTTGCCTATTGGAGGAAAAGGCAGTAAGAACTATTGAAACACATTTCTGTTTCTCAAAGTAGTATCAATGTATATAGCAAGTGAGATGAAAAATTAAAATGGATTTATTCCCTTGTGTTTGATTTCCAAATTGCTTTTAACATTTGAATATACTGTAACGTACACATTCCCCTATGATATGTTACTGAAAAAAAACAAACCATAACTACCCTCCAGGAAAATTAGCTTACAAGACACTACACAGTAACTGGAAGAAACACAAAAAAGGAGAAATTTATGATTAAAGTTTTCTAGAAAAATAAAACAGTCTATAGCTGGTACACATAAATGTCAAAGTGCATTTAAATTCCTGAAGAGAACAGGTAACTTACCTAATACAGTGAAGAGTATGAAGAATATTGAATATGCTCGATTCTTAGAATATGCAGGAATCATCACTGTATCAGATTTAACAAAGAAAGGAAATGAGAATTTAATGCTTAAGATGAAAACTGAAGACCTGTATCAATTTTTGGCAATGACTAATAGCTCTACTTTGGAGTTGTATATGTAATTACACCAAAGGAAACGCAAGAATCAAGTTACTAAAGGCATTAAAAAAATCATTGCATAACTTTTCCTTGGCTGTACTAAGAACTATCAGCTGAAAGAACGGTTACAGTAGTCTGAAGATAATCTTACTCTATTATTCTTTAAAAAGAGAGACAAGAGTTATTTCTGAAAGACCGCTCACCATCAGGATTATTTGCAGTAGTTAGCAGGACCAGCAGTGATGTCAGTGAATCTGGCAAATTCCGGAAATACACCACCCACTCCTTATCCTGCTGGCCATCCTAGTCAGAGAGATGTTCATTGTTAGAGAAACGCTGAAGAATCACTAAGACTGTCTTACCAAGGAAGGGGAAAAATTTTAAAAGGAAAACAAAAAAAAAAAAATCAGTCAATAATCAACTTCTTACACAATCAACTCTAACATGAAAAAAGCACAAGATAAGCATAAAATTAAGGCAATGTGTAGGAATACAGTGCAATCACTTCATTTAGTAACAGTCATTTTAAAACACACGGAAGAACAGCAAGCTAAGACAGACACAGGAAGCTTAACACAGAAACTATGGCTAGTTAACACCTCAGAGCCAAGAACAACCATAACGTCACAAACAGACAATACAGGAATCTGAAGCCATGCTTGTTTTAAATAAAAAGTATTATTTCTTAGCCTGCAAGAGATATTAGTGTATTAGAGCTAAAAGGACTCCTTAAAGATGATTTTAAAAATCCCAGACTAATACCATATTCAGTCTCAACTTGCATTATAAAAAATTAGTGTAGAATAGAAGCTGCTTTCTTTGACATTCCAGCTACAGCATGCTGCACCTCACCGGAGATTGAAACCTAAACACCATGAACTGTATACTCTAGGACTACACTCCAGGGCTTGTCCAAAAGTATAATACAATTTGAGGACAGCATTAAAATACATTTTGTCTATACTGAAGAACAGAAATGAAACAGCTTCCCCAGTAATGAAAAGCTGCCTTAACTACCACGTTACAAAAGATCCTTGCCTATAGATTATGAGTGCCTCTCAAACACCCACAGGTCTACAAGCATAGCCACTGAGTGTGAAATAAATATCCCTCTCGCATTCCCTTTGACTTCTGAACAGAAAACTTGACACCAGCTGAATTAGTTATTTGCATAAAAGTTACTACCACTACTCAGAAGAGAGGTTTTCCCCCTTTCTTCAGTTACCCACTTACATACCCAGGGGCTTCTGTTTAATTACAGTAAGATCTACACAGAACACAGCCAGACACATTTTAGGTCTCTTTTCAATAACATATGTGAAGGTGTACTTAAAGTATGAGTACAAGGATCATCCTCACCTTATTTTACAGGAAATAAATATTTACACAAATAAGAGTACACAATATAAAGCAATATACTATAACCAGCATTGGTTCACATTACAGGAGTTGTCAGGCAGGTGGCAAACATGCAACTGTTCTGCTTTGAAAAGAATGAAGATTCAAAATGCTATGTACAGTATCAGTGAAAACATCACAGGAGCTTCAACATCTTGTGGGGAAGGGGGCAGGGCAGAGAAATTGGAGCTACAGTACCCAAAAAAATATTTGCAAATACTTTGGAAACTAAGGTCATCAACATTATCTTGTGGCTCAGCAGAAACATCATATGATCTGCTAAAGCTCTGATAGTATCAGAGTTCTCATCAACATCAGATGATCTGCTAAAGCTCTGATGATATCAGAATTCTCATCAAAAACACACTGGAAGGCTGATCTTGGATCATCCACATATCTATTTTTTTCCCCAAATTCAAGTACAGAGAGCTAAAAAATATGCAGAGTACAAACAATACAAGCATGAATAATGCAACACAGAACAAATAGCCCTTTAATCTCCTGCTAAGACTAAAAAAATATACCTCTAGAGGACATACACAAGACAATGCAAAAATCTAGAGGCATGAATTTCACTACTAAGTGTGTTATCAGAACTTGCTTTCAGTATTTTGCCTTGTTAGATATAATTAGTTTGTATGGGTGTTAGACTGGCAAATCAAAAAAGGAAAGAAAGATTGCTCTCTAATTTATCTTTGGGTTTTTGTTGCTTGGGGTTTTTGTTTCACCTAAACGTATATAGATTTGACTGGTTCAGGCATGCAAGTTATATTCCCATGTACTGGGAAAGCTCATAACTGAAATTAGATGTGACATACAGAGACAATACAAAGATCCAGCATGCCATTAAACAGAGGAAAAATAGAGCTCTCTTTCTAATTTCAGAAATTCTGTAACACAGGAATTCAAGAAATTTGCTGATCTTAAGGAAGACTAGAGGCAGACTCAAGTACAAATTGCAGTAGGAGTGAAGGTGCAAAAATGAGATTAAGGAGAGGTCTAAAATTACTGGGAGAAGCACGCAACAAATCTTTGTTCTCATAAGACATATTTATGAAAGGCCTTAAAAAGTAAGGACAAAAAAACCCAAAAAACATCTTAGTATGATACATTAATATACAGGAAGTTAAAGACAGAGGGAACATACCAAGAGCACTGGAACACAAAAGTGATTTTAACCACAAAATTTCAAGGGTTTTTTCGGAAGCACGAAAAGGAAAAAAAATAGGAAAAAAACCAAAGATATCAGAAACCAAAACATGGAGTAATGCAGGCAAAACCAGACAAAAAACCTACCAAGGTATGGCCAGGGATACCAGTATTGGAAGACAAGAAAACATGGAAGAAACTAAACTTAGCAAAAAGCTAGGTAAGAAGAAGATAAAAGAAACAAGTAATAATATAAACAAAGAAGAGACAAGATTAAGAGCTTTGGACAAGGAACAGCATAGAAGGTTTCAAGAAAAGCAGAGAAAGCAACTCAGAGGATCAAAGTGGAGAACTGTATAAAGGAATCTCTTGTACAATCAGTTTCAATCTCTCACCTGTGATAATGGCATCAATACCAGTAACATGCAGGATCATAAACAAAGATGTTCACCACATTTTAGTATGGAAACATCCAATTTTGCTTTGAGCAGCAGTGCTAGACTAATAAAACAATATGCCACAGCTTACAGCAAGAGTGAAAGACTTTGGTTGTGGAGTAGGAAGGAGCATTATCACTTAATCAGCAAAGCACAGTCTGGAAAAAATTCTTCACTTAAGAATGAAGAGATTCTAACACTATTCTGAAGGGCCTTCTAATGCACACTTACAGAACCAGCGCTATACAGGGATACTATGCACATGTTAAATCTCTCTAAATTGACTATAGACTCATCTCAGTAAGTTTCACAAGGTAACATGACCTTCTCAGGGGAAACAAGTTTCACCTGTTTGATTAGAAAACCAGACAGGCAGCATCTATGCGAGTAAAGAAAAAAAAAAAACCACTGAGATCTACCAAAGTATAAACATAACTGGTTACCTTTGTTCGAGCAAACAGCAGCATGGCAAACATGGTAAAGAGAGACAGATGAACAGCTAGTAGGAGAAGAACACTGTTGGAAAGAAAATACATCATATGCATTAATATCAACTTTATCTTATTCTTGATATCTTTTGCTAAAAAAAGCAAATGGATGCCATATAAAGAAAACCAGGGGTATTTTTAAGCAGCTGTATGGAATTAACAGAAGATTATGTTAAGTTCTGATTCAGAATAAGAATCACATTTGTTCAGGACTCCTAGACAGTTGTGAAGTCAATTAGATGCTAACATTTGTTCTTCTAAACTTAGAATCACACTTATATCCTCTGATCAAAATACAACAGCTTGGTTTACATACACCTTTGATTCTCCTGGGACTTGTTAGTTAAAAAGTAACAGCCAAGGACAATGAGCTCTATAAGCTGTACATATACAAAACCCCTGACATGGGAAGAGATCGTTCAAAAAGCAGCATGCTATCTGTTTATGATTTCTCCAGTGGGGTTTCCAAGTCAACATTTCTAGTGACAGTAAGATTTAACACATACATGACTAAGGCCATTTATAAATTAAAAACCTGAAGTAAAGCACTCTTGAAGATGTAAAGAAAGAGGTATCTTGTTGTGTGGCACTCATGACAAAGACAAGTACACGTGTGTCTACCCATACCTCTGAGAAGCTACCTTGGAGAAGCACAGCATAGACCTTTGCCCAGATGACACCTCAGTTCTTCCCTTATAAAATGGCTATAACATAACATATACAGAGTTTTTTAAAAAACCACTTAACTAGCATTGAAAACCTTATCTGTCACATACAGAGTCACATCACATGTATTCTAGAGAAATTTTACAGACTAAAGGAACCAAAAAGTTAGTACAACCTTCCATCCATTACTACCTGATCTCATCAACCACTTAGCTAGACCATCAAGAAGGAAGCTACTCAGATGTCTCACTCCAGAATACTGATAGTAACGACATACTTGCTGCGAAAGGATGTTTTCTATATCATTACCTACCTTGCCATTTCAGGCAATGTGCTGTTGATACTTTTTAATGTTTTCTTCATCATCGAAGAATTCTGAAGGAGAAAGAATGGACGAAAAATTCTTCTTATTCGCGCATTCTGCAAAAAAACACCAGATATGATACTGAGTTCCCATTAGATTAGCAGCACAAATATTTTTTATACTAGTTTGTCAAAAAACACTGACACATGCATTGACAAAGTCAACAGTGCAACACTGAAAGGCTGTGCCTATAAGCCAAATCTGTCCCACTGAAGTCACAAAATGCACAAAAGAGATTTTATGCACATGGATGCCTCATTAAAAGAATGAGAGATGGCTTTAAAAATAGCTTCATCAGACCACTAATTATAAACAATTCACCTTTACTGCTGGGCAGACATAACAAGCAGGTCAAGAGATGGCATTTTCATAGTTTCTGCCAAGGTCCATTTCAAGAAGGGAATTAGTAGCAAGCTACTTTCAGCAAAAACAGATACATATTTTGAAAATAAGTGCTTGACTTTACTTTTCAATCTTTTTTCATTTTTATAATTAAAGGGCCTGCTAATTACTCAGCATTTTTTACTCTGACAAGACTCTGAACACGTGATTGCCTTTATTTTCCTTAACATACACTAAAGCAATTAAGCTGTTTGATTCTTGCATTCAAGACACTTGCCAGCCTTTAAGTTACCTCTGTGACTTATCAGCTACTTCAAGTATTTCAGCAACCTGCACTTTAGGATCATTGCTCTCCAGAAAAAATAAAAATAAAAATATCACTTTCTTCCTCATTATTCCCTTGTTCATACATCCCAGCAGTTAAAACTGCTCCTTCTGCCACTGCTTTGTATGGGAGGCTCCTGGTCTAACCGCTTGTCCACTATCACACCTAAAGATTTTACAATCACTTCCTTCCAAAACACATTCTCCATGCTATAAGCACAATCTTCATCCTAGATAATCAACTTATTTTAGCCACATTGTGTTTATTTGGCTTGAACATAAAAAGGACACAGATATTTTTCTTAGTTAGATGCTTAAGTGACATGTTACCCAAAGGCAACAGATAAAGGCTTTGACACAAGCAGCAAAATTCAAGATTTCTGCCTCATTCACCTCCCAGCACTTTTACCATGTTAGTATTGTCTCAAGGCCAGGTTGGACAACCTCTGAGCAGGCTTCTGAGTCTAGTGAGAAGTGTCCCTGCCCATGGCAGGGGGGTTGAACTGGATGATCTTTAAGGTGCCTTCCAACTCAAACCATTCTATGATTCTGTAACAGCTAATTTCATGTAGATTTATGAGATGGCAGAGAAAACGGGAGATTGCATTACTAAAGGAGGACACTTAAAATTGTATCACAAAATTGACATTCCTCTCAGGATGCAATTGTTTGGAACACAACACAGTTTTGTCTTAGAAAGCAGTTGTTAAACTATGCGATCACATTTCACTTAAACATCACTACATAGGCTTCACCACTGAATCAAGTTAAAAATATAATTCTCCAACTCTATGACAAAATTGGTGCTATGCAAATCAGTTTTCTCTGTACTCCTTGACTGCTGACAGACTATAACAACAAAGCTTTATTTAATTTTACCAATGAATTCACATCCTATTTCAAGAACCAAACAGAATCCTTTGAGAAGCTGTACTACACCAAACATTTTCTGTTTCAGTGTATTATCCAGCTACCAAAGACCAAGAATAAACCACCTTGCCCTCCCCACTTAATTCTCCGATACATCACATACGTCCTGCTGACTATCCCTTTGCAGGTTCTTCTCCTCTGCCACTCTCGACAACTAGAGTTGATGACTATTTCTGCAGAAAGCAGTTCTTACCTCTGTGCAGAAAAAGCTCAACGATACAATCCAATCAGTAAGGGAAACGATTAATGTCAGTATATAAGCCATTAGCCATTTATTTTTCCAAAATTCTTCCCATCCAATTAAGTAGCTCTAGGAGGAAAAAAGAAAACAACCACCCAACTTATTTTAATAATAAATTCCAATACCCTAACAAGTCAGCACCAATTGTTTTCCAGGTATTTGTAATTTTACATCAGTGCTCATAAAGAATGCCCTGAAAGCCAAACAAAAATACACTGATCAGAGAATTTTTCTACAAAAACTAAATAAAGATCAGTGGAAATGAGAGCTGCACACAGATCATGTGAGAGGAGTCCTTTGAGTGCAAGAAAAATGCTCATCTAATAGGCATAAAAAGGGATTTTCCAGAAACAAGTATCCAAAGAAAAGTTCAATTTCTGATTATTTTTTGTTGTTGTTTCAATGAACTGGCATATATTTTATTATATAGCCCAATTTTTATAGCCTAATACAAGCAGCTAAGCCAAAATCATTGTATTCTTAACAAAATCTATTTCACTTAACCCACACAAATGGGAGTTTATATTTCTTGTTTTAAAAAAATGGGGTTTCTTATTCAGAAAATATGCATTTTCTGATTTCTCAAAGCAAGGCCTAAATATAGCAATCTCATCATGCCAATTCAAGATTTGAATAACAGTTTTAAGACATGTCTCCCAAAATATAAAATGGGAAAAAGCCACATAGACTATACCTACTGAGCTGCCCAACACAGCTAGTATTTCATACAGTGCCAGATGAATGTGACACTCACCTTCACGGACAAATCAACCATGAACACCAGAAAGCAAAACAGCTCAATGCTTTCTGTTAGGCCACACGGAGGATTCCACGCAGGAAGGCGGTATCGTACATCTGACGTGATAGTAAGCGAAGAAGGCTTTTCAATTAAGGCCAAAGCCAGGATTATAGTAATGGTTAAACTCAAAATCCTGTTTAGATAGAGATTAAATTAAACAAAACAAACAAAAAAAAACACACAAAAAAAACCCACGCACAAAAGCCCCAAAACCAAACAAAACCCACCCCCCAAAAACACCACAACCACAAAATAAGCCAGAAGAAAAAAAAATTACTCACAGTAAAGAGATTTTCTTAGACATAAACCAAGCTCTATAATATCATATTTAGCACAAGCAGGTTGGATCACAACACCGAACTTGATTAGCATGCTATTGCCTGTGTGAGAGTAATGTACCTGCTAACCACTAAATAACCTTAGGTACTGTTCTTTCGAAACTAACATTCACAAACAATGGTGCTACTATTTCATGTGTTTACAAACAGACACTTGGAAAACTCTCACACACAGTGCTGTAAATCATGTCAATAGTCCACTCATGCAACAGTCCCATGGCTGGTCCAAAGAGCCATCTACATGATCACACTTTCATATAGCTTTTTGCTTTCCCCTGCTATCACGTTCACATGTAGTCAAACCACTTGCTTCCTACATTAAGTTCTTATAAGGATAAAAGCATAATTATCTAATTATTCAACAAAAAAAAGAGAGATTAAGAATAATTTCTTATAAAGACTTACCCTTAAATTAAAAAGTAAAAAGAAAACCAAGTTCTTACCATTGGCAAGTTCTTGAATAGTACCATCGATAAAGCCACAGGGATCTGGAGTCCACACGGTGATTTATAGATCGATACTGAAGGCAGAAGCCAAAAAGGATAATTCAAACATTACATTCAGTCTATCTCAAAGATCAAGTAACCAAAATAAACCAAGTTCTAATCAAAGCTCAAGCCTTGAGACAATTCCAGTTTCACAATAAGTAAAGAAATCATTGTACCGGTTATTAATTCTTAAAGTGTTCACTCGTAGCCTATATGCATGGAATGGGAAAAACTTTAATGAAGTTTTCTTAATCTAAAGACCACAGTCAGTCAAATAATCAAACTGTGTGACAGTCATTTGAAGCAAGCATTATCATCGCTACAAATAACAGCATCTGTAATAATTCCATGCCTTTTCTGTTTACTCATCAGATGGTCCATCCATTTAGTTCCTCTTTCTAGAATTCATGGATCTTCTTTTGTCTTTCTCTTCCAAAAAGCCATAAGATGCAAGCAATTAAATTCTGAATATAACAGACCTCAACCTAGGTCTTCAACCAAAACGTGCTTTAAGTTCAAGGAAGTGCCCACGGTTCTTCAGAACAGGCCTGCATTTGCTGAAATCTGCACAGCCCTCCCTCTGCAGCTGCTTCTGGGCTGCTGAGAAGTATCCACTTCCAGCACCTTAAATACATCTGATCCCCAGAAATCTCCAAACCAAAAGCTATCTGAATGCAGCAAGAGAGCTCAGGAATTGCCCTCCAGCATTCCAGCTGCCTTCAACTAATAAATGAGAGATAACAGGTTCTAGGAATATAAGTAACAGCCAGTAAATGAGAGACAAAGAGAGAACAAAGACTTTCGAAGGCACCATGTTCAGCTGAAGTAAAAGCATTCCAGCTTCTCACTTGAAGCTAGCCTTGAACCCTACCAGCTCTTTAGTCTGCAAGTAGTCAAACCTAGAGACAAATTACAGGGTTTGTTCAGATACCTTGTCTTAGCAGTAAAGCCAGTCACTCTCAAGAAACAAAATCAAACAAAAAAAACACCAAACCCAAAACCAAAACCCACAAACCAGCATCTCTTTTGACAGCCTTGAAGAGAAGACACTATCTATTTCATTGTGTGGAACAGCATGTTCCTCCGAGGCAGAAGTTCACTGAAACTTGCATACCACAGGAATTTGGAACTCTGATTTTGCTTTGAATCATAACATCAAGATGATATTACGTGGATATTGTCTGAACCCATACAAGTTTAAAAGCTAGCAGAATGTGTGACAAACATCCAGCGTGGAAAGCATAACAGATAACATACAAATTGTGTTTACCTGTATTGCATCTTCAATAAATACTACAGCTTGGTTTATATAAAGATCATTATCAGCTCCAGTAGCTATGAAATTAAAAAGAAATAAGAATCACTTGCTGAATTCTGGATAACAAATACAGCTTGCTTATTAGTTAACAGAAGCTCCACAACCACAGTTCTTATGATAAAGGGCATTGTACACACAAAAAAAGAGAGCTCCTGCCACATTTGCTTCTCAGCAGCACAATGCATTAGATTAAATAAATAATCATCTCACACACATCATGCATCTTTTGTACTTTGTGAAAAGGTTATCTGACATTTAGCTTAAGTAGCTAGATTACACTAGTAGTTAAATAGCTATCACGAGACTGGAATATTTCTATGCAGAGACAAGTCCTAAGTAATAGGCATCGTAATAGAGCTTCAATCAAATTATTCTTTGACAAAGTGTACAGTCAAGTGAAGCTGGAAAAAAACAGACACTAGTATTCTAGGCATTTTTACTTTCATTTAATAAAGGTACTGAGGATTAGATTGATCTCATTCTTTCCAAAACCAACAGAAATCTCCAGTCAGATGAAAGCAAATGTTCTTTTTTAATTTGTCCACAGAGTTATTATTACTATATCAAACAGATCAGAGTTCAAGACATAGAAAGAGGTGAAAGTACACAAAGTGAAATAAAGTATCACCAAATTAGTTACTACACAACATTTCAAAACCCATTAAGAAGTCCATATGAAGATACATAAAGAATAAAGGGCAATCACTTGGGTTCACCTGAATTAGGACACTAGAGTCACTAACCTTGCAATTAACCCAACAAGAGAGACAAATGCAGTTAAGGTCAAAATGAGAAAGAAAAAAAGGGGAAAGAAAGAAAAAAAAGGAGAGAGAGAAAGCTGAGGGGGCAGATATATGAAAAATTCATCTTAGTGTAACCTTCCCACAGAGGGGAAGATGCCCAAGGAACACTTCATACCATCTCCTTCCAGGAGACGGCAAAAGCAACATGAGATACAATGAGGAAGAGTCAGTCCAGGTGCTAGCACAACATTCTCCAGGCTCCAAGAAATGCCAGAAGCACTATTGATCCGAGTCCCAGAGGATTTTATGTTCCACATGATTCAGCAGCATCAACTTTCTACAAAGACTGCAAACAGTTTTTAAATGTCACCATTTATCTGACCACAAGCAACAACATAATTTTGTACTGATTCCAGTATGAACCACAGTGCAAGAAAGACTGAGCATAAAGAGGAGACAAGCAAGGCTTACGCAGTAAAGATCATATCTTTATCAAGACATAACACACCAGCGAAACAAAAATAAATCTGTTTAAGGGAACAGTGTTAGCTAAAAGGATAGCAAGGACAGCAAAAGCTTTAGGTTTTTGGAGGACTCAGCAAGGCTAGCATTGATCCCAACAATTCTGAAAGATCAGAACCTTAGCAACTCTTCTTAATAGAAGACTAAAACAGGGAAATTACTAAGAAATAATTACTGTAGCAATATCTTCAAAAAAAATAAAATAAACCAGAACACATTCTCCATGCATGCTACCAAGGATGCCCAATTTGTCCTGCAACTCTTAGTCACAGCAAGTGACACTTAGTCACAAGTGATGATTAAAGTGCTGCTTAGTTTGGGTGTGCTGGGTCCCTCTCAGGCCCCACAGCACTTTTGACACTGAACAAACAGGCAACAAAAAGGGAAGGTTCACTTAAGTGATGTGATACCCTGAAAATAAAGAACCTGAGATCTCCAAAGCAGCCTCTCCTAGTGGAAATGAGAAGTCAGACCTTTAACATTCACTGACTTAGAGAAGAAAAAAACTTATCAGCAGCTTAAAAAAAAAAAAAGAAAAAAAAAGAAGAAGAAATAAAGCCTCAGGCAAAAGCAGCGCCAGGTTTGCACCTACGGATCAACGATAG